TGCGTGATTATATCGATATACACATACATGCTTTATTCATAAACAACATCAGCCACCAGATTGAGACCTCAATTATGATCACCAGTTCAATCAAATAATTTTTTTTTTACATTCACACACTCGTAGTTTTCACTCCCATAAGCAGTGAAATTCTACTTTGCAGAGCCCGGCTGTCAGAGCGGCGTTGCAACACCAGCAGGCTGAGATAAACAAAACACAGTTAAGTTCAGTAAAGAAATTATGCGGTTTTGATCTACTTTGTTTTAGTTGATACCGATCCATTGGTTATTACTGGTTATGGATTAGTTTGCGAAGGAGTTACATGCATACTTGTGGACAGTAATGGAAATAACAGTTACAATCCTTTAAATTCATGTTTCTATCACTTCAGAGGAAATTACATTCATAACCTAGCCCTCAACTATAACCACTACTTGCCCAACCCTAACCCTAACCCATACCCTGACCCAAAACCAAGTCCTCACCCTGAAATTGATGATTGATGTTGTGAGTCCCCACATTGTCACTGTGTAAACAGATTTATGTCCCCACAACATGAGTAATACGTGTCCACACATACACACACACCCCACGTTCTCCCACCTTCACCCAGCCTATCTCCTTCCAACTGGTAATGGGAGTTTTACGTAACCTTCTGCAAAACAACAACAACCCCCTGAGAGGCCAATAAACCAGAGGAAACAAATTCATGATCAAATTACCACAGCCTACTTTCAAATGCAATTTGGGGGGGAAACAAGAGGTGGGGAGGAGGGGGGGGGGATCACTGGCAGGCTTGAAAACAGGCAATTTCATCTGTCGCTTTAGCTGCTTCCTTCTTAATCACTCACGTCTCTTCAGGAACAGTGTAGCAGCTTCATGGGGTTTATATCGAACTGTTGCATTGTCATGGCAGTTTAGGTGCTCTTTGTGGATTATTGGAGGTGTATGTCACCCATGCAATCTAGCACCAGCTGCTAATGCTGCCTGCTACCTTGTGAGAAGGTATCCTACTGAGGGGAATCAGAAATGGCCCACAGACAGGTATTTGGAGTGCAAAGTCTCAAAGGTGTGCTTTCAAAGATGTGAAATGAAAGAGAGTGGAACACAGTGGAGCAGAGCGCTCCACCGGCAAATCTATGAAAATGAAATACCTCTCAGCTGCAGCAGTGGTTGTTGGGCCATTAGAATACAGAGACTTGCTTTTTTGGTGAATAAAAGGAGTGTTCAGAAAGAGTTACACTCAAGGTGGAGTATAAATTATTCTTCATTTTCAGAGTTATTCAAACAGAAGTGATGAACTTGCTCTTGCAAATAATTCTTAGTAGTTGTTACAGTTAAGTTAAAGCTTCTCAGAGACTTTCAAATTGGGCTCCCACTGTTAACTGAGGAATTTGTAGCTATTTTCATGACTTTTCCATTATTCTATTTGAATCCTATGAACGCAAGTTTCAACTCCTGTTGGGCACAACGGACTATAATAGCATGAGTGTGCAAAGTATAAAATATACTCACTGTATTATTCATGTCAAGTGACTCATTTACAAAATCTGTTGGTGTTCCCTGACCAACCATGTGTCCTATAAATTAACTTCTTAGTGAAAGTGTGATGGTCATAGCGCAGCAGGTTGATGTGATGGTGATGAAAGAATTTGCTACCAATATGGATAGATGTGAGTATCTATAGCATGGAAAACATGTGCCTCTCATTTGCGGTCCTCATGAATCCACTTGGTTCTGAGGAACTTAGAACTACGTATGTCCAAATTATGCTCATATCTGGTAGGATGTCAAATGGTTCCAAGTGGATGAGCTCTGATCCCGTGGTATGTCATAATCACAGCAGGAGAAATAGTTCTGTCAGAACATTAAGAGCAGAAAAGAAGAATTTTTCTATAAATTAGTCTTTGAAGCATATAATAGTTTCAATGACTTTATATTCATTCTTACAACATAATTATATTTGTCTGCATGTTATAATTGATTGGTAGGATTTCCAAAGGTCTGTTTCAGATCGGGTCTAAAATTTTAGACCCGTAAAGACCTCTACCTGTCATTAACCCATCCACACACATTGCTAGTTATTTTGGGATTCAGGGGTTATTTTTCTGCCTTTTCTCAACAAATCAAAATGTCTTTATTCCTTTTCTGAAACACAACTCTTTTGTAATTACATTCTATTCCTTCTACCCATGTGAATAGTCTAGATTCTTTCGTCATTCTTATGAAACTCCAGTCTTTAATCATGACAGATTAATAGCCCATTTCAATGACTAAACCTCTATTGTTCCCTGGTCTGGTGTCCACGGGTGTATTCAATCAGAGCACAGTGTTCACATGCCAGCGGGGGTGATGACGATTTGGGCTGTCAAGCAAGCAGACCGCTGTCCTCTGCAGGTGCGCATTTGATTCTGACATTAGCAACCTGACTATGAGTCACCTACATGAGTAAAAGCCACATGGCTGCCAGCGCTGTTTGAAGCAGAGCCAAAGTAAAGCTGAGGCTGTGATCTCCCATTTTCAGAACACCGCTGGGAGCGTTTGATTTCAAAGGCCTCCTCTTGTCGCTAATATAATTAGAGGGAGAACGTCCATTTATCAGATTAATTTGGGTTATTAGTGGGATTAAGCCTTTAATTAGACCTCTTTGGCTCAGGACAGCATTTGACTGGAGAGCTTTGCTTAAAAGGTAGCCAAAAAATAACAACAACACTGATGTAAATGCTCTGTAGACATGAATATACATTATACAGTATATGCTTCCAGACTGTAAACAACTTAGCATTACAGTATTTCTAATATTTGAACTACAGAAATGGAAAATGTGTCCCTGAGAAATCATAATGAATAAAATCAGCGCTTCACAGTATAGCTTCCAGGATATTGATTATTAAGGAAGAACAAACAATGTTTAAGGGATTTAAATGAAAGTAAATCAATACAAGTAAATATCTAATGAACCTGAGTGAAAAATCTATGCAAAGGATAAAAAAGAAATAGAAAAAGTGTAAATGATTTTCTCCTCGCACCCTGCAGTATTGTATTTTTACCGAGGGGAAATGGATTCTGCCAGCAAAAGTATTTTAAACTAATTATCTGTTGAGGCTTAGTGTTAATGATGTACGAGGTCATTTTAAGTTATTCATGCTCTCTGTCGTCTGTCTGATTATGACAATGTGAAATGATTACTCAAATACCAAGAGGAATTATTGACTAGAATACTTTTTCCCAGTATGACTTGGCAAACAAAGCTTACTGTGTTGTTTGACCTGTCGACTTACAAAAAAGAATCCTTTAAAACTTTTACACAAGTGAGCATTTTTTACACTTTGCCTACATCAAGGACTGAAATAACTTGTGATTGCACTCTGTACAATTCTTTATCCTCTCCTCCAGTCTGCCTTCAGGTGAGCAACCAAACACAAATTAAATCCAAATCTAATTTATTAGACTAGAGATGATTTACAATGTGCTGCAGTTTGGGCTTGTAATTTTTAAATTGAATAGTAATCTAGCAACTGTTTGTCCTAGATCTGCAGTTACTGTAACAGACTGGAGTTTAAATCAGATGACTAAAATCATTGTGCATGTAACAATGTCTACTGCAATATAATGCATGAGTAAACTGAACACCCACAAGCAACCATAAGGCAAAAAATACACTGAACAAAAACAAATTCTGTCTCCTTGAATAACATGAATAACATCAATATGTGCTATATTCATTTCTACTACTGAAGAGACTCCTCTTGTGTACATTGCAGTGAGAAAACATTTGGACAGTCACAATTTGTTGTTTTGGTTTTGTACTTTAGCACTGAAACAGTGACAATGTGCTGGCTCTTAGCTTTAATTTAGCAGTCACATCCACATCCAATGAAACATAAAACTTCACTTCACCCTTATGTATACATAGTCCATACATTTTAGGAGACAGAGTAACTGGATACGTTAATATGAATTTAAATTAGTCGTCATATTTATTGTTTGGTGTCAAATCCTTTACTGTCAATGAAAGCCTGAGGACTCTGAGTCACAGACATTAGCAAAACACTTGGTATCTTATTTGGTAACACTTCTCCAGACCTGAGCTGCAGACAGCCTCACTGCTTGCTTTTTTGAGTGTTTTGTTGTTTTTAGTCTGGTCTTCAGTAGGTGAAGCACATTGGATTGAGGTCAGGTGACTGATATGGCCAATCAGTGTTTTATAGTTTCACCTTAAAAACATCTGTTTTGAAACCTTTAAAGTGATGATTATTATTAAGTATGTTTGATCATTGTCCTACTGCATCATCCTAAAAGTGAGGGATGAGAGACCTACACGCTTTCAAACACCCTCAAAGCTGAAAATCACTACTTATTGTCAATGTTAAATTGAATGGGCTGTGCAGAACAGAGCCTAACATATAACACATTACACTATACAATAATTATTAAAAATTAAACGTTTTTGGAAATACTTTTGTCCACTTTGCTGCTGAGAGCTACCACAAGCAATCATTTAACTTAGCATAGCATTTAGACTGGAAACAGGGGGCAACCTGGCTCTGTTTAAAGGCAACAAAATCTACAAGCACCTCTAAAGCTCAATTAACATGTTATATGTAGTTTCTTTAATCCATACAAAAAAAAACAAAACAAAGCATAACGTTTACAATTTAAGGTTAATGTGAGGTTTTAGACAGGACTTTTTCTTGGTCAGGTGCAGTGTACCCTCGGACAGAGCCTTTTCATCCAACTCTCAGCAAGAACACGAATAAGCATATTTTCCAAAATGTTAAACTATTCCTTTATCGGTTTGACACTACTTGCATGTCGATTTTTCTATTGATGAATACTTCTGAACATTTTCATTAGTATCAGTTCATTTTATGGATTTCAATGCCAAGCAGTGAGGTTCTAATTAATCATACAGTAAATACATGATCATACAAACGGCATTATATCAGAGGCCTGGGGTCAAGGCTGATCACTGTATCTTCTCCCCTTCACCCCCGCAGGTACATGGCCATCATCCACCCTCTGCAGCAGCGCATGTCATCCACAGAGACCAAGGTGGTGGTGGGAGTTATCTGGGTGCTGGCTCTGCTCCTCGCTTTTCCTCAGTACTACTACTCCACAACGGACCAGCTCCCTGGTAGGGTGGTGTGCTACATCGACTGGCCTGAATACACCCTGTGCGACTTCAAAAAGATGTGAGTCTCTGTGGAACAGCTATTCAAATAGTCAACAAGCGCTGTTAATTACTTTTGAATTTACAGCAAATGTGGGAGGATGCCGTTTGTATTCAGTGTAAATGAGAGAACATGGTGAAAACGCATGAAGGCTTTTTGTGCTTTGTAGTGCATAAATTAAAGGCACATCATAAGGGATTTGTGCTCTTTCTCTACTGAGAAAGGCCAACAAATCGAGTTGGACTGAAGAAAAGAAATTTGATTTGATTGAAGCCTTACTCCACCATTCAGTTTCCATTTGTAATTCTACTATGACAACTTCTAAGATGAAAACATTTTCAACTTTTCAAGAACAAGTTCCTGCTTTACACGGCAAAAAATGTAAAGACATAAAACCAAGACAATTAAATAAAATAAATAAAAGCACAATGTTTGGCATTCAAGCAGAAAATACGTTTATTATCATGGATAAACCTTGGCTCTTCAGTTCTTTATAAAGAAGCTCTTCAGGTCAAAGCTGTGAACTATGATTCCCACTTAGTTCTGCTTTTCACACCCATGTTAGCTCAGTAACATGTGTCCATGGCCTTTAGGCTCACCTTTAGCAGGTTGTAGAGTCTGACAGGCAAACCTTGTCTACCATGCAACACCAAAGCATTACCTTATTTATATGAAAAGCCTAATGTGAACAGAGACCTGTATGCCCACCTGGCCTCCTTGAGTCAGATTGAGGACGTGCCATCTGTCTTGGAAGAATTGCACTGTGTTTATCTGCGCTATTGATTCCAACTTCGCTGAAAGCCAGATGATTTACCCTCTTATTTATTCTTTTGCAAAATTTGATTTTGATTATTTTCCTCTATGCATAAAAAACTAAGTGTATCTTTTTATATGCTCTCTCTAATAGGCCATTAAAAAGACATCTCAGAAAGCTACCAGCAATCTAGTACAGGAGGCTACAACACTAAAATTACTTGTATTAATGTATTTTTTGCCTCAAAAAAGAACAAATCGAGACATTACGCATCTTTAAAGTTGCCCTCCAGACATGTTGTAAGACAAATAACACCTTGATAGTTATCTGTGCCCGATATACTGCTTCCACAAAAAAGGTACAATTAATTAAAAATTCAACAAAATCATGCTCAAACTTTTCCCCTTCAGCAGATCAATGTGAAAACAGCCTGCTAGTGGCAAACTGCACATCATTCTTCACAGTGAAGCTCAAACATCAAAGGGAAGTTGCAATAAGCAAAACACACTTTTGACTGGAGGAGGACTTTAAAGTAAAACAACATTCAGACAAACCTTAGTATTATTTTCCCCATGGGCTGGTAGGAGCACTCTGCCATAGACTTAGAAGTTTGTCATGCACCATTTGAATAACTCAAACAAGCACTATAAATGATTTACACGCACTATGGGACCTTGGTCTGGCAGCTCAGTCCGGGTTACTAGTCACCTTTCCCCTAGATATCATCTTACTTTGGGCTGCTAAAATAGAACCAAAGGCCTTTCATATCATATCAGTGACTAAAAATCATCCTAACACTATATTTATGCATAGCTTGTGCAATGGAAATGCACACCAATTTCACCTCCCCTCGCCCCATAATCTGCGATCAAAGAAGCAGCGAGGAAATGTATTATTAAACAAATGCTGGTGTTAATCTCTCCTTGCACATACTGAAACCTTGCTGTGCTAGACAAACGTCTGAAACTGCATTTGAAAAACAAGATAAATGCAGTATGTCTGGAAGTGATTTATTCACACTTTGCACCACCCTAGAACTTGTCTTTTTGTAATTCCACTGGCATAACTGTCCAACACATACATGAAGGCACAAAAAGAGGTCCACAAATTACACACAATATTAATTCAGCGAACACTGAAACACACCCACACAGTGACGCACATATGCAGGCACTCAGACACACACCAACACGCTCTGATCACAGCTCTGCTGATGAGAACCTCTCAGCTCATCAGCAACAGTGTTTACCCTGCTCCGCTGCCAGCCTGCTATTGACTTCCCTTTCTACTGCCTCTGTCACATTTCTCCATGGAAATATAGTTTGTTATGAACAGCGCAACGGCAATTTCATTGTTCATGATGGGATGCCTGCTGCACTTATTACTTTTTTAATGAAACTGTAATCAGTGACACATAGGAGCTGAGTGAGAACGCAGTAGTCATTCAGCTCAGCAGCCGAAGCTGTAAATGACACATCTGATTAAGGCTGACCCCGGGTCAGGTCCCACATGCCTTTCATTCCAAGCGTTGCCCTGCTGTCGTCGTCACAATCACCCTGTCTGATGGCCTGTCTGATGCCTTCGCAGTCAGTGAGAATTAGTAAGCAAGGATTCATAGAAGAGAATTTATTTTATTCTACTTTATTCTTCACTACATTTCAGAGGCAAATATTGTATTTTTTTACTCTTCTACATTTATTTCAGCTATAGTTACTAGTTAAGGGTCAATCAGAAGATTTTAGATGATGAAACATGATGCATTGTTTTAGATCAAACTACCCAACAGTATATAAAGTTATATTTCTCCCCTTGACTATGTAAAAATATTCCAAATATGCGTAATTTTGCCGTAAAGTCTAATTTTGAATGCTGGATTTTAACTTGTAATGGAGTATTTATATAATGTAATGCTACTTCACAATATTTATTCCAGCACTGGTAAGGCTTGTACCTGCAGACATCCACAAAGGGTCATTCCTGTCTAGGGTAAGCCAGATTTGTGGATGGGTTAAGAAACATCCGAACTGAAAGTGGAAGGAATATTTCAAATATGGTGAATCTGTTTCCAACTTCGAGAGGCTACTAGAGGCAGACTGTGGCTTAAACCGTAGGATATTTGGACCATTGTGGGTTACAGCTTCACTGTGGACCCACAAGGTCCATTCCTACCTAGATCACATTGATGCCAGAGCTAACCTTAACATGAGATCAGACCAAGTTCTTCCATTCATGGCCATCATGTCGCCTAAAAGGTTTTGGCTGCTTTTCGCTCTCCCTATCATTGTTGACCATACAGGTGAATTGCACACAACGCAAACACATTCTCTCAAGAAAGGAGCATAGCAGCTTACAGGTCCCTTGTTGACTGTAACCCCTAACCCTACTTCTGTTCACTCCACCCTAACCTTTACTCTAAAATAAACCCTGATCCAAGTTCAAATTTAAACCCACACCAAATTAACATGCAAATAGTGCGAAATTATAAAATGTGTCCACTTTGGAGAATCTTCCTCATCATTTTATCCTTGAGAGAATATTTACTCATAAGAAAAGAAATTCAAGAACACCACACAAAATAGAGCGACATTGTGAAGACAGACAAACACAGACACTTAGTGGATACCCATAAACATCATACACACAGCAAGAATCACACACTGAGCACGCCTTGTCCTCTGATTTCTCTCTCCACTAAACTGGGCTTCACACAATCCTGAGATTAGTGCCAGTAAGTCTGAGTGGAGCGAGGCGTCCTGTTACTGTCCTGGTACTGTTTTGCCTCTGCTGGCAGGCAAAGTCAAAAGAACAGCTGCCCTTCCTCCCAACACTCTCATTAATTATGTATACAGAAACACCCAAATAAATAAGCAGGCGCAAGCAATTTAATTATGCATACAAAAGTGCATTTCCTTTACATAACCTGCACTTTAATGCTCATAATGTAAAATAGATGTCTATATGGCACATTTTATGACAGTGAACTGATTTGTATTCATATTCTCACTTGCACATTCACACTCAAAAATTAGGTTGTCAACAGGTGCATTATGTTGTGGAAATTATATTCATGGTGAGGGGCTGAGCAAATAATTGAGTTACAACAAACCGTTGTCTTTGAAGAATTTATTTAACAAAAGAGAACAAACAGAGAAGTACTACAACACAAATCAGCTGGACCAGAGGTTCTGTCTCCTAAGACAGTCACTAATGTCTGGCCCTGAGCAAAGGGATGCATCATCATTTACACAGTCTAGGTTTCTATGTTTTGGGGAACAGAGATCCTCTCTCGGCCTTGAATGAACATTCCAGGAGAGGAGGGGAACAACAAGAGAGGGAAAACACCAAAACAGTCTCACAGCTCTGACCTAAACCCTAGTAAATGCGGACAGACTAACATAAGTATAGGAGAGGAAAGGTTAAGGATAAAACAATACATAATAGTAAAAGAACATTCATAAAAGATTAAATGTAAGGACACAATTTTCTGCCAACACATTATTCTTTATGCATGTCAATAAGTTATTTGTTAACATTTCCTTTCCATTGCCATCTTGTGTGTCTATTTATTTTGCCTGACTATTTCTGTTTCATTTTTCCTCACTTGTTTTATTTTGTCTGCCGTTTATTGCTGTTGTTCGGCTGGTTAGCTCCTGTTGCAGCTTACATGATGAAGTATTTATAGTATGCACACGCTGAACCATTCTACAGTACATGTAATTAAATAACCTTCTTTGGACCTGCAACTTGTCTAATAGAAAGGAATTAGATATGGTATTACTTCAAAACACATTTACATGAGCAGACTGATAGCATTTAAGTCATAGCCTACAGAAAAACTCAGCAAGAGTCCCTTCATGCAGCTTTGATATGTCTAAAAGCATTACTGTAACTTTTGTTCAGAGGAGAAATGAAGGAGAGAATAGGTCTGTGCTTTTTACTCATTAACATCTTGGCTTCTTCAGTTGTTGTTGTCATAAGTGTCATTCTAATATAGTAACAAAAGATGCGAGTGCAAAGATTTTGCAAGCGCAAGTTACACATGCCCTGTCTTTCAGTCCTAGTGACGTCCCTGACAAGACCGCATTGATTAAGGTGAGAAAAACAAAATTGCACTGGGTTGTTGAACTGTAATAGCTGATTCTTAGGATGGACATTCACTTTGGTGCATTTAGAGTGCATTTGACAGGAAGCCAGTATTTGTTCACTGCACTTTATTAACTCAGTTGAAGGCACAGCGAAGCAAAGGACTCTTAATCCCCAATGGAGA